AGCCATTTGGGGAGTTTTCAGCACATGATTTAGCGGAGGCCATGGGGGAGGCCGCCTCGGGGGATGTTGTTGCTGATGTTGACCCAGTTGCTGCTGCTGATGCTGAGGGGATTAGAAGAAACCTTGTTAGACAGGCCAGGTTTACATGCATGCTATCACCATTTGACCTCGACCACACTGATGTGGTGATATCTGTAGTGTAGGGCGTATTTGGATTTTATGGTTATTGTACATGGACTCTTGACACTTTATTTTTACTACTTATTTCTCATAGTGTAGGGCGTATTTAGACTCATATGGATATTTGTAGTGTAGGTGCTGTTAACTGTGCTTTATTTATTGGCAGCTATTTCAAACTTATGCTTATAATTATTCGTAACGTATGCTTATGTGCCATTTGCGGCCTCCTGTTTGTGGACAATTGCAATGAACGCCGTAAATACATTGCCCAATCTGTTTATCATGATAGAAATATGCCACGCTAATAAAACGATTACATTACACAGATGATCTACATACAACACTAAACCCACACTAATATATTTTATAATACAACACATACGTTACCCTTTAGTACATATATCACATTAAGTGGGTGGTTGTGGTTGTTGTCGCGACGGACAATGCCGTTTATTATGACCAACCTCTCTACAATAACCGCATGTTGTTCGTGTAATTGCACCCTCCCGCGAATCCATTTCATTGTGAATGCGTGTACTTCTAGGCCTTCCCCTTTGACGTCTCAAAGACACATCCAGAATAATTGTTGCATGTGCAAATGGTGGTATGAAATCCTCGTTACCAATTGGATACCATTGCGGCGAATAAATTTCACATTGATTCTTCGCACTATAGGCAGGATCTATGTACTGTGTGGGATCGTGATGCATGGATCTACATGTCGCAATGACATGGCTACACGGGAACCTAAACGCAGTGAACTCACCACACTGGCATGTACGATTAGATAGCGATACTGACCATTTTTTACCCCCACGATGAGTACGTACATTATACGACTCCTGAACTTTAAATCTTGTCTTTTGCACATCGTAAGAAGTTACATAATGTGTCACGGCCGTTCGTTGATTTTCCACATATTTTCGCCACACAACTTTGGCAAAGCGATTACCTCTTTCCATCTCCTCACGTTCTTCCTGTCCGTGCTCCAAAAAATACGCCACCAGTCTACTGTACGTTATACGCACAAGTGAGGTAATTGGAAGGTTTCGTGCACCTTTGAGAACTTTATTAACACACTCTGACAGGTTTGTTGTCATGTGGCCAAACCGTCTTCCTTGTTCATCGCAGGAGATACTCCACTTCTCTTTAGGTATGCGATCAATCCAGGCAGCTATTTGCGGGCTTGTTTCTTTAAATTTTTCCAAACCAGCATCAAAGTCCAAACGCAAAGTTGTATTGCCTACACATCGCACACCAATATATTACAAAACATCCCATTATACGAATCAAATAAGATAAAAACATACCTAACTTCTTCAACTGCTTCTTCAACATAACATTCTTGAATTTGTGATTAAAACTACTGCCCACGTGGCGAAGGCAATAAACATGATATGCCTGTGGTGGGGCCCATCCGAGAGCAACATTGTTTACCGCAGACAGGATACCCGGATGTCGATCAGAAATGAGACATATTCCATGCTTTTGTGTCACAAGCATTCGAATAAGAGCCAAGAACCAAGACCAGTTATCAGTATTCTCGGCTGAAACGATAGCGAATGCAATTGGAAGAATGTTATTGTTGCCGTCTACTGCTGTCGCAATCATGAGGGTTCCCCAATACTTGCCATAAAGATGAGTGCCATCAATGAGGATAATTGGCTTGCAATAATTGAAGGCTTCACAACACTGTTTAAATGTCCAAAACACCCTTTTGAAGACCTTGTGAGCTTGGTCTAGGCATCCAGCAATGAAATGGTCACTCAAATCAAGCTTATAGGCGGATCCTGGTGAAAAACATAACATGTAATCCAACCACCTGGGTAGGAAGGCATACGACTCATCCTAGTCACCGTATACTTTTACAATAGCCTTTTGCTTTGCCTTCCATGCCTTCCTATATGATATATGGAATCCAAGGATCGTAGCTATCCTTTCTTGGATTAGCGCAATCTTGACACTAGGCTCCTCTCTTATCATTTTTGCATATGGTGAAGCAAGAATGTATTAGTTAACTGTAACATCAAATAATTTAAAAATTGAAACATTAAGTTGTACCCACCTAAGATCAATGAACAAATCAGATTTGAGTCCAACTGCTGGTGATCCTGGGTAAGACTCTGACTTACACATGTATGTTCGTTGTTCCATATGCCTATAATCCATTCACTGCCACCTTTTTTTTGGTATGCTCTCATCCTCCATGGACAACCGACGTTATGATTTTGACAAACCATTATCAACCTTTTCTTATCACTTTTCTCTACGACTGTTGTGCGATTATTTTCCATACAATATTGTTTAATTGCCATTTGTACATCATTTTTGGTGTCGAACAATTGATCCTTATATAGCTCGTGGCCCATCTGCCAGTTAGGTATTTGTGCTCCATGCATATCTTCCAATTCTTGATCTGGATATTTCCAATTAACATTCGTGAAATGGCTGATTCCATCCCAAAATGGTACATTATCATTTCCTGTACAATAACATATCCAAAACCCCAAAATCATATAATTTGATTATATGACATAACATAAACCACTAACACGGTTATTAATGGTTACATACCTGCAACTGGAGGGTCTTGCATTCCTACAATGCCAGGCGATGGAATTGGTAGACCAACTGCAGTGGACGGATAACAATCAAAATCACCATCGACATCTGTATCCGACGACTCATTGTCCGGAACAAGACCTTCATCAACCTCTTCCTCGAAACTATCGGTACGCCATGATGGATCGTACATGTCGTGGACCGGCAAGCTTTCATCAAACAATTGTTAAGTTTGTGGTGCAAGCGCGGGGGACGCGTCCTCATCTTCCGGATTAACCACTGGCACCATGTTTATGTCGATGATGTCAGTGGATGGTGGAGAAAGTTGACTGCTTGATTGTCCACCATAGTTGACTTCTGCATAAAATTCAATAAATCTTGACTCGCCGTGTTTTGAAGTGCTTGCATCTACTACTAACGTTACATCGTCATCTTCAACAATTTCGACGCCAACCCATTGCATGGGGTTACCAGAGGCACACCTAGTGGTCAATCGAGCAAGAGTTTGACCACGTTGTAATCTCAACTTCTTGTAGATTATCTTCTTAAGCTCGTGAAGATTGCATGTTGGGCTCATGCGAAATATTTTTGCATCACCTTCAAAAACTTGCCCGTTTGGTCCAAAATATCTTCTCCCATTATAATAAACTGTGGCGATTACATCATTCCTACCCTCACTCATCTTACAAAAGTAGAAAATAAACTAACCTTCACAAAAGATAACACAAAAGTAGTAATGTTTGTATATAAATGGCAAATTTTCGCACTCAGAGTCCGCTCCTGAAATGGAATTGAGCTGATTTATAGTAACAAAGTTCACTACATGGGGTACCACTTTATGCAACATAATTCGCTATGCCCCCTAGCGAATTACTAGGGGGCTGACACCTGTCCATTATCAGTCAGAGCGGTCCCTAATTCACTATGATTCATGGCAAAATAAGTACATAATTCGCTAGGCAGTACAGCGAATTTTGGGGGTATTGACACGTGTCCTGACAATGACTGGACAGGACTGTCAATCTGACATTAATTCGCTGCAAGGTATAGCGAATTATGGGAGTGTTGACACGTGTCCGACAAGAGACTGCCATGACTGACTCCTGATCAACTTAATTTGCTACACACCCCAGCGAATTACGCCGGAGTTGACACGTGGCATTCTCGCTGACGAGGCAATCTGACCTGGCATAATTCGCTACACAGTGTAGCGAATTATTTGCAAACGTAATTCGCTACACTGTGTAAGGAATTATCACGCGTGGCAGTTTGAAAAATTTTACTGTTCGCGTGACATTCTAGTAATTTGTTTGCTGAAGCGTGGCACATTGGTCACTGTCCCCCTAATTTAAGCATTATATATTATAAATAAGAGCTTTGGATTTCTCGAACAATGAAAGATCATCATTCTTTCTTGCAGAGATACGCAAACTGGGCCCCATCAATTTTATTTTATTTTTAAAAAAGTTAGTCATGTTTTTTGAACTGAGTGATAGGAGATGAGCAAATTCCTGTAAGATAAGAATTAATTTTGTCATAAATAAATAAAATTATGAAGGTGTCTTTAAACAGAGAGGATCCTCTTAATGTAAAAGAAATTATTTATTATTATCAAGCACGTAAATCAAATGGTAATAGATTGTTACAACTTAACTAATCTTTTCAAGTTGAGTCTTATAGATTTGTAGGAAGAGCTTTGCGGCCATTATGATCCTGCTCGGTTCAAACGGATTAATTAACCAATGAAAAAAGAAAAAGAAATTATTTGCTAAAAAGAGAAAATAAAGATTAATGTTTCTAAAACTATTATAATAAGTCTCCGGATGTAGCCATATACAACAACTAAAAAATTATCTTTGCAGAAGAATCTAGTATTAAATAAAGATTATTATTTTTTTAAAGAAGACAAATTTCCAGTCTTTTGCCAACTAGATTAACTTCATATTAAACTAATCTAAGATTAATAGTAAGTTAAAAAAAACAGAGAAGTATATTTGAATAGAATACCCCGTATGTGAAATAATTAAATTAATGATACTTAACATTGTTGTCACGGCATTCAGCAGAATCAGCACCTAGGCAATTACACACAAAGTACCAAGTGCATATCACTATCAATTTCATAGTGAAAACAAGATTTTTCTTTCATAATCAACATTAATTTATGTGACATGGAGTATGGAATACAGCAAGGACATAATCAAGTACCTCACGGCTAAGTTTGATTGAGCCATTTAAAGCTCTTCTTGAGAAGTGTCTGAAAATCTATAGCTAACAAGAGCATTCGGCAATGGGAGTTAGTGGAAGTAAGTTATGGAAATGGGTTGGTGGTGGTGGTAGTGGCAGTGCTTACAACAGCATGGAAGGTCCTCTATTGGCTCCTAGAGGTTATGTTCCAATTTATGTTGGCACAAATGAAGGTACTTGCAGGAGATTTATGGTTCACATCAAAGCACTTGGTGATGCAGATTTCAGCCAGATGCTTGGTAGGTCTGCAGAGGAATATGGGTTTAGGAATGAAGGAGTTCTTAGGATCCCATTTGAAGCACAAGATTTTGAAGAGTGGTTGATTAGAAGGTCCAACCAAAAGACTAAGAGGAGGGTAAAACCAACTTGATTAGACACACCATTCTTTTTCTTTTCTATCTCATTGGTGCCAGCTTTTGTTGTACATATTTACATGTGGGTGTGCTCTTGTGTATATATGGATTTATTAGATTGATTCTCCATGAAGATACTGTTACTGTAATTAATGCAGGGTGTGCTGATAATTTTTCGATAAGGTTAAAGATATCTTTTTCATTTAGTTAAAAAAATTTAGTGCAGGATGAATGGATACGTATTTATAAATGCAAAAAGTACAAAAGAATTTAGTGATTGAGAAATTTTTATAATTTTGAGAATAAATTTGCGAGAAGAAATTCGAGTTTCTAGTATGTAATTGTGTTAAAATTTGATAAGAAGAATTTTGTCCTTTATGTAGTTCTACTCGGCTCAAACAATACTAGTTGAGTAATTAATGAACATATGAATAATATGAAAAAAAGTTTGCAAGGAGATAATTACAAGAAGTAATTAACAACAATATCTTAAATGAGATCAACGGTGATAAGAAAAACTTAATAAAAGAAAAAGAAAAAGTTAATGATCTTAAATTAACATCTTTAGAGACACTGAATTTTTAGAATTAGTTCATGGAATATGTAAGATGGCAATTGGCAAGTGATGCATTTAAGTTGAATATATATGTCAGGGAAAATAAGAGTGTGCATGACAACCTTCTCGGAATGAGTTTTTTTTTTTTTAATTTTTGTTCCCGGGAACAAAAATGGATGAGAATTGCGTTTGACAAAATCGGTTTATTTTTTTGTTCCTGGGATGAACCGATTTTTTTTTATGCTGGGAAACAAAAAAAAGAATTAAAAATTTTCTGCTTTTCTAATTCTGGGCACAAAATTAGAATCAGTTTTCTAATTCATCTTGCAAGGAGTATGCGCATTTTGTCCCTGATTTAGATATGGAGAAGATTGCTGATGTACGTAGCACTAGCCTTTGTCCCTGAACCGAGTTCTTATTTCTTCAAATTCTTCTCTGCCTTCTCTCCTTCGCCCCTCCCTGTCTTATTCACATTGGCCTTTTCTGGTGTGAAACCAGAATACTCCCCCACATTCAGCATGTGGCAGTTGTCCATGCTGTTAGTGATAGCCCACTTTCCCATAATCAACTTCTCTCTTGGTTCTTTCTCTACAGCTAGCAAATTCCCTCCAATTTCCTCATTCCCTAGCTTCCTTTCTTTCATACGCACGCAACGCACTATCCTCCATCCCCTTCTTTTTGTATTATATAGGCGAATGGTAAGAGGGCAAGTCTTGGAGTAGGGGCAATATTATTCTTTTATCACTGAAAGGTTATGGGTTCAAATTTGGGAAAGTCTCTTTGCAAATATGCAAGGGTAAAACGACATATAATTCTCAGAATGAAAAAAAAAATTGTGTTAACAAACGTAATTCTGATTCTCGGAATAAAAATAAAATATGTTAACAAACGTAATTCTGATTCTCAGAACTCTTCCAAGGCACAGAAATAGAAAAGAATCATTTTTTTCAGAAACAGTGCCAGGAATTAGAATGGTTGTCATGCGCAGCCTAAAACTTAGGTATGACAAATTGCATTTAAATTATTGTTTCATAATTATATACAAGTCCATCAACTCTTGACTATATATAAATATGGTGAAGTTGGATATAAGATAACCAGGCCCTACCAAATTGATGTACACTTGACTTGAGCATATAATCTTTTGCCAGTAGATGACTTATCTGTGTATAAGGCATTTTATAAATGTGTTTGATGTTTCATTTGTATGAGATAAAATTACCTCTTACACATGTTGGGATATTCAAGTGTGATGAGTCCCACATTGGTTGGTAATGGGCTAAGTGAAAAGTATATAAGTGGAAGGATCCATAAACCCAATGCCTTAAGGTTTTGGGTTGAGATGTGGTATTGGACTCACTTGGTGTATTTGGAGTAGCTTAGCTCATTGGTGATGGCCCCCCGCCACGGGCTTCCTCCTGGACCCACCTGACAGTGGTATCAGAGCCGGGTTGGGCTCGAGCTAGCTAGGTGTTTGGCTAGTAAGCGGGTGGAGTACTTGGGCCCTGGGGTACTCAGTTGAGGGGGAGCATATAAAATTACCTCTTACACATGTTGGGATATTCAAATGTGATGAGTCCCACATTGATTGGTAATGGGCTAAGTGAAAAGTATATAAGTGGAAGAATCCATAAACCCAATGCCTTAAGGTTTTGGGTTGAGATGTGGTGTTGGACTCACTTGGTGTATTTGGAGTAGCTTAGCTCATTGGTGATGGCCCCCCGCCACAGGCTTCCTCCTGGACCCGCCTGACAGTGGTATCAGAGTCGGGTTGGGCTCGAGCTAGCTAGGTGTTTGGCTAGGAAGCGGGTGGAGTACTTGGGCCCTGGGGTACTCAGTTGAGGGGGAGCATATCAATGTTGGGTTTCACACTTGAGGGGGAGATTGTCGGGATATTCAAGTGTGATGAGTCTCACATTTGTTGATAATGGGCTAAGTGAAAAGTATATAAGTGAAAAGATCCATAAACCAATGCCTTAAGGTTTTGGGTTGAGATGTGGTGTTGGACTCACTTGGTGTATTTGGAGTAGCTTAGCTCATTGGTGATGGTCCCCCGTCACGGACTTCCTCCTGGACCCGCCTGACAACACATATATAAAATTATGTGAGATCCATGTGAGTCCATATGAAGAGAAGATAGAGAAAAAAATAAATCTCACACACATTTATATGTGTGTAGGAAATAATTTTATCTCTTATAATATAAGAGACATTAAATCATTTTTAAATATTGGACCAGAGAAGAGACAAGGCCTCAAATTGCTACAGGGAAAAAATGCGAACAAAATTAAGAAAGAGAAAGTCACTATTTTCTTCTATGATGTTGTTTCTACTTATAAACAGCTAGCAGGCGGTTGTCCTCTTTCAACATGTTCCCGGCCTTATGCATTTTGTCTTATTTCCTCCTTGATATACAAAGGATTACGTACTTACACATATGATGTACATGAATATTACAATTTAATTAAATATGATTAATTTTAAATAACATCACACACACATATATATATATATATATATATATATATATATATATATGGGAAATAGAAATGTTATGTTACATAACATAACTTCTTTTTCTTACACATTAAAAAATGTATGGGACTCGATCACTCTAATTTTTTCTTTTTTCCTATGTAGTGATTTATGTGTCTTTGCCATAACACAAGAAATGTCATAAAAACATTATATTCATAAAATTCTATACATATAATATTTTTTCAGTCACTGTAGATAAAATTATCTCTAAAATGATATTATTTTGAGGCCAGGAGAAAAAAAATTATAAATAAAAATTAATATAACCTCGTAATAAATTGTAGACAAAAATATTTCTTATGTTGATGCAAATTGCTCTCCTCATGTCACTCTTCGATTTCCGCACCATTTTTTTATTAGCTCTATGAGCTCGTGGAAGGAGAAGTTAAAATCTCCAAATTATAATTATAAAAATATTTTTTTAGTAACATCATTTTAAAGTTACTGAAAATAAGTTATCTCGGCTGAAAACACATTAAACTAACGTATATATACATCGACAACAAGCAATAATGACCTCAGATACTCCGACACGCTACATTTTGGAAAAAATGCTTGTCGGACACGTGTTGGACACGCGGTCAACTCTCCAACATGTTCTGACATGTTTTTTCGACACGCAGTCAACTCCTTCTGACATGTTCCAACACATTTTTTTTTTACTCTTAATTTTATTTTACTAACTAAACATAAAAAAAAAATTATAAATCAATTTTTTCTGTTATGAAAATTGACATTAAAAATTAACATGATACGAAAAATTATTTTTATTTATATGAAATTTGAATATTTGATTGGTTATATGACTTATTGTGGACTGTTATATATATTAAATATAAATTATATTATATATATTAAAAATATTATTAAAACGTGTCCCAACGTATCAAAATATGATTTTTTTAGAATTAACATGTGTGTATCGTGTCCTGTGTCAGTGTCCGTGCATCATAAGTAATGACAATGATGTTGTACAAGTGTACAAGTAATATGTTGGTCCACTAAGTTTGATGCTCCACTTGTCACCTCACAGACAACTAGCAAGCTCAAGTCTCTGAAGCCAAATCTTCAGTATCACTCAACCTAGCCAGCCCATGATGCCGTGGGATGAAAGTCTGAGACCAGCCAGGCACATTTAAAACATTCAGTGAATTTAACTTTTTTTTTTTTTTTCGGTGCCTGGGGTGATGAAATTCCTCCATTATTGAGTTCATACACATCAATATATATTGAAGGCTGACAATAGTTACTCCATGATTTGAACAAAATTTGTTGAAGTCATGCATAAATGGTAATAAAAATAAGATTTTTTTATCATAAATTTTTGTGACTTGCTCTTATGTGTGAGATTAATCCAGAAAATTGTATTCTTCCTTGTTTAAAAAATAAAAAGCTTAACAAGATAATATCATTCGCTATATTTTGTGAATGCAAACATGTTTAAAGTTTTGTCTATTTTATTATAATTTACTAATATAATATATTAAATTAGAATATATTTTTTTCGGTACATAAATTAGAATATACTTTAAATTTTACTTAAATTTTACAATAATATTCATGAGATACTTATATGTAATTCATTTCATTTATTTATTTTATTTTATTTTGGTGTGAATTTCATTTATTTTATTTTTTTGGATTACATCCGGGTATCCCCGCAATTTCATTTATTTTTTACTTTGTCTACCTCTCAATTCAACCTCTGATTAATAACCAAAATAGTTATAAAAAATAAAAATTTAATATTTCTTTAAATTATCTTCTGCAATCTTGACATAACGATTATTTTGGGATTTAAAAAAGTAATGGGATTTCGAGAAAATTCATATCATAAGAGATAATTAAAATTCTCAAAACACCCTTACTTTTTTTTTCCTAATCCTTATGCCATTTTAAAATCATTGGAGAAAATTTTATCGC